GTCTCTGCTTTTCACGATGCTGTCCAGATTTGTCATCGCTTTCCTCCCAAGAAGAAGGCGTCTTTTAATTTCAGGGCTGCTGTCTCCATCTGCAGTGATCATGGAGCCCAGGAAGATAAAATTTGACACTGCCTCCATATCTTCCCCTTCTATTTCCCAGGAGGTGATGGGACCAGTGGCCATGATCTTAGTTTTTTTGATGTTGAGTTTCAGACCGTTTTTTGCACTTTCCTCTTTCACTCTCATTACAAGGTTCTTTAATTCCTCCTCACTTTCTGCCATCAGAGTGGTATCATCTGCATATCGGAGGTTGTTGATATTTCTTCCGGCAATCTTAATTCCGGCTTGGGTTTCTTCCAGTCCAGCCTTCCGCATGATGTATTCTGCATATAAGTTAAATAAGCTGGGGGACAATATACAGCCTTGTCGTACTCCTTTCCCAATTTTGAACCACTCAGTTGTTCCATGACCAGTTCTAACTGTTGCTTCCTGTCCCACATATAGGTTTCTCAGGAGACAGATAAAGTGGTCAGGCACTCCCATTTCTTTAAGAACTTGCCATAGTTTGCTGTGGTCCACACAGTCAAAGGCTTTTGCATAGTCAATGAAGCAGAAGTAGATATTTTTCTGGAACTCTCTGGCTTTCTCTATAATCCAGCGCAAGTTAGCAATTTGGTCTCGAGTTCCTCTGCCTCTTCGGAATCCAGCTTGTACTTCTGGGAGTTCTCGGTCCACATACTGCTGAAGCCTACCTTGGAGGATTTTGAGCATAACCTTGCTAGCGTGCGAAATGAGTGCAATTGTACGGTAGTTGGAGCATTCTTTGGCACTGCCTTTCTTTGGGATTGGGATGTAGACTGATCTTTTCCAATCCTCTGGCCACTGTTGAGTTTTCCAAACTTGCTGGCATATTGAATGTAGCACCTTAACAGCATCATCTTTCAAGATTTTAAATAGTTCAACTGGAATGCAATCACCTCCACTGGCCTTGTTGTAGCCAGGCTTTCTAAGGCCCACTTGACTTCGCTCTCCAGGATGTCTGGCTCAAGGTCAGCAACTACATTGTCTGGGTTGTCCAGGATATCCAAATCTTTCTGATATAATTCCTCTGTGTATTCTTGCCACCTCTTCTTGACGTCTTCTGCTTCTGTTAGGTCCCTCCCATTTTTGTCTTTTATCATGTTCATCTTTGCGCAAAATGTTCCTCTAATATGTCCAATTTTCCTGAACAGATCTCTGGTCTTTCCTTTTCTGTTATCTTCCTCTATTTCTTTGCATTGTTCATTTAAGAAGGCCCTCTTGTCTCTCCTTGCTATTCTTTGGAAGTCTGAATTCAAGTTTCTGTAACTTTCCCTATCTCCCTTGCATTTTGCTTCCCTTCTCCTCTCTGCTATTTCTAAGGCCTCGTTGGACTGGCCAGGCCATGGTATAGTCGCCTCTATCGTGCCTGAAGGCGTCAGGGCTACCTTAGGAAAGGCAGAGCTCTTCCCTCTGACATCTGCAGGCTCAAGCAATAGCTTTATTGTGACATTGCACTGAAGGACTGGCCATGGTATAGTCGCCTCTATCGTGCCTGAAGGCGTCAGGGCTACCTTAGGAAAGGCAGAGCTCTTCCCTCTGACATCTGCAGGCTCAAGCAATAGCTTTATTGTGACTACTCATTGCACTGACTGTGTGACTATTCCATGGGAACGCCATCCTATTACCAAAGAGTAGGCCAGTTCAATATATCAACTTTCCACCTGGCCCCTGGGTACAGTCTTCCCAACATCTACTTTACCTGATCATCATCATCATCTTTATTTATTTATTTATTTATTTATTTATTTATTTATTTATTTATTTATTTATTTATTTATTTATTCATTCATTCATTCATTCATTCATTCATTCATTCATTCATTCATTCATTCATTCATTCATTCATTCATTCATTCGATTTCTACCCCGCCCCCCTAGACAGCGTCTACTCAGGGCGGCTTACAAATACCATAAAATATAATAAAAACATCATAATTATTGAACAATTAAATCAATAATATGGTGTGTTCAAGATGGGGAATGATAAAACAAAGAGATATAAATTCAAGAATTGACAGAAGGGAAGGGCTGCCTAAAGAGCCAAGTCTTTAATTGGCTTTTAAAACCACCCAGCGAGGGTGCCAGGCGGATCTCTGTCGGAAGGCTGTTCCATAGTCAAGGGGCCACTGCCGAGAAGGCCCCGTTTCTTGTTCTTTCTTTCAGGACCTCTCTCGGCATTAGGCCCCTCAACCGTCCCTCCTGGCTGTGCCGAGTAATTCAGGTAGATCTAGGTGGGAGAAGGTGATCTGCCAAATCTTGTCTTTATTCATTTCTTGTCTTTATTCATGAACCTGCTGCTTCTAGCCAATCCGAAGAGTTGCTCCAGATCTTACCTGCAGATCCACATAGATGTCAGTGTGATCATTTGCCCTCTTAATGACACAGCTTCCCGGCGGCTCTGCGCCCTCAAGACCAGGCAGCAAATTCAGAGATCCAGCCAAGGATAAAGTCTTCAAGGCTTCTTGATAGTTCTCGTACACCCCACGAGGAGCTGCCTCCGGACAGACCACATACACTATGGGACAGGCAGAAATGTTTAAAATGCAAATTCGAGTCCCAGGCAATCAGCCAATGAGGGATCAGAGTTAGATAACTCGTAGGTGGTGCATGATGGGAATTTTCCTACCCACCACCAGCTGTATCTTGAGCTAGGACAACCATATTCACACACAGAGAACCCAATGATTATAAACAGAAACAAATGTCTTGATTTGGACCTGCTGGTGTTAAAGTGACCATTAATAAAGGAAAAACATGAATATCATGTGAGAAAGTAAAATGTACTTTTAAAGGAGAAAAACAAGAAAACAGCTATTTTTTTTAAAATATAGTTTCCTCTAACAATGGCCGTCCCTCAGAAAGAGGACGATGAAAAAGGCCTCTAGACCATTACAGACAAATTTTGTCTCTGAAATCAGCCTACCAATCTTGTGAGGTAACCATTACCATGGCTTGTTCTGATAGATAGGGGGTTCTGATATAACATATATGAAGTACTGGCTTTACAATTTAAGATAACACATGCTATTTGATTCACATGTACTTACACAAGTAATCATACCTTGTACCTGTAATTGAAATGTGATTTCACTATTTCCTTACTATAATGATATTCTATATGCATTTTTGATCTGTACCTTATACGCATTTTGTATAGTCAATGCATTTTTTTTGTATCTTCATTTCATCTCAAAGTAGTACTCCTGACCCCTCCCGTTTGGTGCTCACAGAAACATTCCTACACAGCTTGGTGAGAACCATCCCCCCTTCAAGGCCAGAATAACTCCTTTTTCACAGTGTTTCAGGCCAGCAAAGAAAGTAACATAGATGGCTCATAGTCCGTCATTGGCATATTTGGAGATAAACTGCACAATGGTTCACACATTCACAAACTTGGCAGCCACTAACCCTGGGATGCATTTTGAATATTGTTCCTCACATCTACCACGACCAATGGGGTGACCCAAACAGGCACACATAGGGTTCAGGAGACCAATAGGGGGATGCTGTGCTTTATTGTTCTTTGTATAAACTGCTTTTACCCATTAATGAGGGGGTTCGTTCCGTTTTTAGGAACGACGCCCAGTCATATGTATGCTTGAATAAAATTGGCTTATACATAGACTGATTGATGCACTATTTTAATTGAATGGTAACAGTTCCACACACTTGGCACAGAAAGAAACCCCCCAATTCCAGTAGAAAACAAACAGCTTCTCCACAACCGCTCTTCTGAAAAGGTCTCACCTGCTGGCTTAGCTTTACCGAGCTGGTAGGTTTCTCTCAGGAGGCGCACGGCTGTGATGACGTCCTGTACCAATGCAAAGTTAGCCTCTTCCTCAGGATGATACCAGTGAGCCTGGAAAATGGGGGAAGGGCGGGAGACGGTGGGGAAGACACACAGAAAGCATTAGAGACCAATACTAAATGTCAGTGACCATTACTGATTAGGATCCTCATGGCACAGTGGGGTTAAACTACAGGACTGCAGGCAAGACTCTGATCATGACATGTGTTCAATTCCAATGAACTCAGGCAGCCTGCCCAAGGTCGGCTCAGCTTTCTATTCTTCCGAGGCCAGTAAATTGAGTGCCCAGCTTGTTGGGGAGAGTGTGTGGGCTTACAAGAGTAATAAAATACAATTAAATATGATACAATAAGATACATAATAATAAAACCTACTAACAGATGCACATATAGATTATCAAGATGAGATAATTCAGAAAGAAAGATCAATTAATTGACTGGAGGGAAGGCCTGCCTAAAGAGCCAAGTTTTTAAATGGCTTTTAAAAACGCCCAGTGAGGGAGCCAGACAGATTTCCGTTGGGAGAGTGTTCCACAGCTGAGGGGCCACTGCCAAGAAGGCCTGGTTTCTTGTTCTTTCCTTCCAGGCCTCTCTCGGCATAAGGCCCCTCAGCTGTCCCTGCTAGCTTTGTCGAGTGATTCAGGTAGACCTGGGTGGGAGAAGGCGCTCTGCCAGGTATCGAGGTCCCAAACCGTTTAGGGCTTTATACGTCATCATTAAAACTTCGAAATCAATGCAGAAATGAATGGGCAACCAGTGCAAAGCAGCCAGAGTGGGGGAGATATGCTGGTGTTTTCTCACCCCACTAAGGAGCCTGGCTGCCGCATTTTACACCATTTGAAGTCTCCACATGAGCCTCAAAGGCGGCCCCACATAGAGTGTGTTACAATGGTCTAATCTCGAGATGTGTAGCCTGCATAATTAACTTGTAAACCACCAAAAGAGTGCTTTAAGCACCATGGGGTACTCTATAAGCAGCACGCTTTGAGGAAAGGAGGAACAGGGCCACGAAGTCAGAGCTGAGTCTGCTGTCAGGAGCAGGTGTTTACGAAATCAGCCTCACGAGAGCCTGGCTCATGAGGGCACAAGCGAGCCCCGGTTCACTCAGAAATACCCCCTCCCCTTGAACCCATTCTTTCTTTTGAGAGAACGGGGACTCACCAGGTGATCTTTGCTCGGGTATCTGGCCACAGAGATGCTGGGAGGAGCGTGGGGGTCTCTCCTGGGGAGGCGCTGCCAGAGCTCCTCCGTCAAGAATGGCATGAAAGGAGACAGGAGGCGCAGAGCCAGGTCTGCACAGCTGTACAAGGTCTGGCGGGTGGACAGGATCTGAGCCACGTCCTCACTCCTCAGTACAGATTTAGTGCATTCCTAGGGAGGGAACGTAATTCTCAGCATTATTTGGAGGGAGGGAGGATGTCCTATGGAGGCAAAACTTTGTGGGGATGTGTTGGCCTCTCCCAATTTGAAGAGACCCTTGTCCAGCAGGCCGAGGCAAAGAGGCAGTTACGAAAGCAGCAAAATCAGGGAGCTGGACAGGGGACAGATTGTATTTTTTTCAGTGTGGAAGGGATTGTCACTCTCGAATCGGCCTCCTCAGCCACACTGGATGCTGTTCCAAGTCCTCCATACAGAGCACGTTACCATAGTCTTTTGAGACTGAAGGATGCCTATGATGATGAGTATGAGAGGACTGCATTTACTCACATTTCACCTCACAGAAAACCCAGAATTTCCAGATGTTGTGGACTATATCCCCTTCACGCTTAATCTCAACTGATATGCTTTCATATCTACAGAGGGGGTGGGCGAGAGTGGGGGGGGGAGTCCAATCTTTTCAATGAGAACTTCTGCAACCCGTTACCATCGGTTGCGTTTTGTGTCTGTGTGCTGCGGAGCCTAGCCTAGGCTGGACGATGTACGCAGCCAAAGTTTCCCCCACCTCTCTTGGGCAAAGGTCTAGCCAGAAGGCAGCTGGAATCTGAAACCATGGGAAGCTCACCAAGTAGACACCGCAAAAATCATGCAGCCAGAAAAGACGGACCGAAGAGGCAATGGAATGGAGCTCGTACTCCTCAAACCAGCGGGCGGCATCTTCTGCTGTGTGGTAGAGTCTGCTGAGGATCCACTTCTCCAACGGGGTGTGAGGGAAGACCTGGAGGGAGGTGTAAAGGACAGGCAACAACACTCCCAATTTTGTTGGGATTCTTTCTCATCTTTCTTTTGCCATGAAACTCAAGGTAGCACACATGAGTGTCCCACCTGGTCTCCCAGAGAGGAAAGGATCAGACCTCAGACCGACTTAGTTTCAGCAAGGTTCATGATTCATGGTCTCTCAGATTATGTTCTGGTTATCACTCAATTGCTACTCCTGTTATTTATTTATTTGTGACACATTCCATCCACGTATCATTAATTTTTATACTGCCTTTCTCCCCACAGGGGATCCAAGGTAGCTCACAACAGAAGGCATTTAAAAAACACTATATAAATAATAACTTTAAAAACCAAGAAAACGGGTGTTAAAGATTTTTTTTAAAAAACCAAGTACAAACACAATTGAAAAACATCTAAAAACCTGTAAGTTAAAGCCCTTCTGACAAAGAACTCAGGACATTGTACAAGGCTCTCCTCTCTTCCATTCTATCATCACAACACCCCTTTGATGTAGACCAATGTGGCAGAGAAAAGTCACTCAGGGAGCTTCAAGGGTCGCTCAGGACCTGAACCACGTTCACCCGCATGCCAAACCCAACACTGTAACCACTACACTACATATTGGTCCAAAATTCACTTCCTCCACAACATATATGCGCAGGCTTCAGGGGACCCACCCCTGCCCCACTATCAGCACCTTGCCTTTCCATTTCTCCCAGTTACCTTCTCTGGTTCCAGTGGGACAAATCCATCTCCCAAGGCGGCCAAAGTGAACTTCAGGGCATTCCATACCTTGTTGCAGAAGCGACTGGCGTTCTCCACAGTGACCACATCCAAGTTAATACCTTTGCCTAAGGTGGTGTGTATTGATTGGTATACTTATTTTATGTAACCACAAGTGGAAAAAAATCTTCACACAGAATGAATACAGACTATATACTACGCTCAATGAACTATAAGCCCATAGTTAAAATACACACATAAAAACATAATGAACTATCTGAAAGCAATGAACTAGTTACTCTGGACAACGCCTGTGTAAACAACTAAGTTTCCAGAAGGCATTTAAAGCTTTCCAGAGCCGGAAGTGTTATAAAGCCTCCATTTTCAAGTCATCAGCTCTGTTACAACACTGAACCAGGGAAAAGGTGTCCAGAGACTTCCACCCATCCCCCTCCCGAAATGCTGGCCAATGTTTTCCTTTCAAGGCATAAAGCTGCTTCCAAGCTATGGCAACCTTCTATATTAATGGCTGGAATCCAGTAGTATGCCAGACCTAGAAAAGGCCCACTGAATCAATGAAACTTAGAGAGTAGTTGACTCACCACATTCTCACAGATCCAATCAGTCTGCTTTAGCTGTGAGTATGGGATTTCAGCCAAAGACTTACGAAAAATGATGTAGCTGTGAGTATGGGATTTCAGCCAAAGAAGAAAAATGATACACAACTTTTGGTTCAGGTCTTGATAACTATGGGCCATAGCTTTGTTTATGTGTGTTCTGTGCTGTCAAGCTGGAATTCACTTATTTGTTTGCTGAGTCAATATTTTTCAAGCTAGTTCTTCCTCTTTTCCTACTACCTACAACTTTTCCTAACATTATTGTCTTTTTCACTGAGCCTTGCCTTCTTGCGATATGCTTACTGTCAAACTTCTCCATAAACTAAATAATCACAGTATTATTCTTAGAATAAAATACTTCACACTATTGTGAAAAATAGCTACAGTGGTGCCCCGCTTGACAACGATAATCCGTTCCAGAAAAATCGCTGTTAAGCGAAATCATTGTCAAGCGGAAAAAAAAACACCAATTGGAATGCATTGAAAACCGTCAATGCATTCCAATGGCGGAAATACCTCATCGACCAGCGAAGATCGCCCATAGAGAACTGTCGATCAGCTGTTCTAATTCACTGTTCTAATGTGAAGCTTCCATCCGGAAAGCAGCCATTTTGAGAAGGGAGGGAAGCCATTTTACGAAGGGAAGCCATTTTGTGGAGCAGGAAAAATCACTGTTTAGTGAACAAACGGTTCACAAAGCAGACTCCTAATCGACGTCAAGCGGAAAAAAACCATTGGAACCATAGTTTTGCGATCGCAATAGCTACACTACATATTGGTCCAAAATTCACGATCGCAAAAAAGTCATCGTTAAGAGATTTTGACATCATGCGGGGTAAGCGTCTATCGGGGCACCACTGTACCTTTTTTTTTCTTTACAGTGATTTGTACAAAATACTTTGCCTTTGAAAGAGCTTCATCTAGGTAATTGAAAAGTATACTCCTAAGCACGAATAAGTATTCTAGAATCTTCTAGATTTGCCCTTTCAAGGATTTCATCTTATTTCAAGGTCTTGTTTCAAGCTCCTTTACCACTTGAGACAATAGCTGCTCTGTAGTGATACCTTTTGTGGGAGACTTATATAGTGACCTTGGACATTTTTCAGGCTGCAAGGTAAAATACAGCTTTTTCCATAAGCCTTTTGGGAAGGGGAATGGCTGCTACTTTTGCCTTTACTTACTAGTATTAATATTTCCTGTTGCTCTGTGCTATAACTATGTTTCTATGTTGAATTTATGGAATTGGAAAATATATTTCCATCCATGTTGGTACTCAAGGCAATTGTTTAATGCAGTGGTTCTTAACCTTGGGTTACTCAGGTGTTTTTGGACTGCAACTCCCAGAAGCCTTCACCACCAGCTGTGCTGGCTGGGGTTTCTGGGAGTTGCAGTTCAAAACCACCTGAGTAACCCAAGGCTAAGAACCACTGGTTAATGTAGTAATGTTTACTACTTACATGCAAACTACCTTACAGATTATTTGACAAAATAAATCATACAAAATAATACAAAAAAATTGTTACACTGTTAAGAAAATAACTTGGAGTCCAGGTCATGCTATCAGCTTAATCTTAGACAGTACACCGGGATTACCCCATGTATGCCAGTCTAAATTTTGTTAACAAACTGTGGTATACATACATGATAATGAATCAGAAATTGATCAACTCACTACTGACAGATATTCTCTGAGAAGTGTCACAGCAAAACCACATCACACGTGAACTCCACTAGAACAAGAGACTATTATTACCAGAGGACTGGAAGTAGTATCTGATACCCAGTTCCTACTAGATAATTCTCTTAGTCCTTCAACTATTTTTATAGATAGCACCCTCTAGGGCAGTGGTTCCCAAACTTGGGTCCCCAGATATTCTTGGACTGCAACTCCCAGATATCTTACCCAGCACAGCTAGTAGTGAAGGCTTCTGCGAGTTTTAGTTTAAAAATATCTGGGCTACCCAAGACTGGGAACCAATGTCCTAGAGCAGGGGGTCTCCAAACTTTTTACCGTGAGGGCCACACTGGGTATTTTCAAAGTTTTTGAGAGCTGAAGGAACAGGGTTCCTGCCCACACACACACACCACCCGCCCGCCCACATGGATGCATACCCTGCCCACCTGCACAAACACCCGCCCACACACATGCACATGCCCCTTGCATGCGCATATGCTTCGCCCACCCACCTGCCCACATGGACACCTGAACACACACACACACCCATGCGTGCGCTTGCATACAGGCTGAAGACAACGGACCAGACAAAATGGCAACGAAGGCCAGATGTGGCCCGAGGGCCGAGGTTTGGAGAACTCTGTCCTAGAGGATGACAGAAGAAAGGTCCAAATTCTTACCTTGTGCAGAGTAAGAGCAGAGGGCAAACCTGAGAGCATCTGTGCCATATTCAGGGATTCCTTGAGGGAAATCTTGCCGCTGGAAAGGGACAGAGACAGGAGGAAGTGAGGACATCCAAATGTCCCAGAAATTATTAGCAGCAGGCCTTGTGGCAGTTGGGTTGTGGGGAGATTAATTTACCTGGCCTTTCATAGCAATGACAATCTCTTTGGGATCCAAATTGCTATTTTGAAGCTTCTCCTGTAGGACCTGGAGCAGGAGAGCAAAGGAATGTTAAGAAATAGTCAGTGGTAATGGCCAAGAAATACCAACATTCTCCTTAGTGTTCTTCCCATCAGCTATACAACCAAGGGTTGGCTGTATATTCTGTGCATATCTACAGGACTATGCCCCACCAGCAGAATCTGAGATTGAGCAGCACATCATGAAAATTTTGGCTTTCAAAACCTTGTGTTTACGGAGGCCATCTGAGAAGCAAGTTACCAAGAAAAATTCCAAGTAAGATTTTGAGCAAATTTTGGGTTCCTTAGTTCTCTCTGGAAAGAACTGACCTATCCATGCAGCCGAGACGTATAATGTTGCTATTCATGGACCATATCATCTCAGATTGCACAGGAAACCTGCAGTGCAATAGCAAAAATGTACCTTGCACATAAATTGCTAGCACACAGAAGGAAAAACTAGAGCCTTGTGGTGCAGTGGTTAAAACCCTGTACTGCAGCTAAAACTGTGCTCACGACCTGGGGTTCAAATCCCAGGTAGCCAGCTCAAGGTTGACTCAGCCTTCTATCCTTCCGAGGTCGGTAAAATAAGTACCCAGCTTGCTGGGGGGGCAATGTGTAGCCTGTATAATTAAAAATTGTAAACCGCCCGGAGAGTGCTTGTAGCGCTATGGGGCGGTATATAAGTCCAAAAAAATAAAATAAAATTGAGCCTCCCTTGAGATCCTAAGGCAAGGGTGGGTTATATGCAAGTGTCTGGAGTATTTTTGAAGCTTCCAAAATAGGGATGTAATGAGTACTTGGTGAAGATTGATGCAATCTGAATCTAAAAAGAGAGAATGCTTGGCATTTTTTTTAAAAAAATCCTGGCAATCTTTTGGCCCAGTCTCCTTCTGAGACCCTCCAAAGAGATCAAGAATTTTCCTGGTGCAAGCCAGGGAGAAATGCTGAGCACTGTCCCCCCCCCAACCCCCGATTTTCCTGTACATTATTAAATTTAATGGTCCTGTGCTGCTTGTGACTGTAATCACAGCCTTGCAAGATATGCAGCAGCATATCAAATCTAAGAAACTATAGAGCATTATCAAAAACAGTGCATGATAGTCTAGTGTCTTGTTTTATACTGTTGCCTTTTACATCCTAATCAGATGCCTTAAATTGTAACCTGCTTAGTTTTTACATAACCCCAGCACTGATTGCAGTCTAAGGCCATAAACCTTGTTTGAGGAGGCAGTGCTGAACCCTACAGGAGGCAAGTGGAAAGCCCAGCCATTATCGTCTGAACAGGAAGTACCTGCAAAGGGGCCCCATGAATAACATCCAGGGGATCAATAACATTCCCAAGGGATTTACTCATTTTCCTGCCATGAGCATCACGAACCATTGTATGAAGGAATACCTGAGGCACAGAAAGAAAGAGACAGAGAGAGAGAGAGAATCAGAGATGGGCTGGGCTGAAAAGCATCACCAAAAATCTCTCCTTTATAGCCCACAATAGCCAAACACAATGTTGGTTGATTTAAAACAACACACAAACTACAAGTAGCACAAGTAAAACAGACACAGTTTGGGGATCCATCACAGCAGAAGTATGCCCAAATACACTCAAGCTTGCAACAGAACGGGAAGATAAGAGCACGGGGATTGAAAAAAAGAACTCAATGATATGGCAGGAATTAATTTGTGAACCGTATTAATGAAACACAAGGTCTGAACGGCAAGAAATGAAACACCATGATTCCCCTTAAGGCGCGTGTCCACAGTCTAGCCACAATGAGGCTGTTATCAAGAAATACTGGTCCAGAAATACACTAAAAGAATCGAGGAAGCAATTTGGTTAACTCTGCTTCTGTGGAATCTTCTCACCATGCTTTTGGGGAAATGAAGCCGAAACTCTCTAGTGACCAGTCCCTACCTGAGAGAAAGGTAACTCTCCAGTTAGCTGTTTCCCCAGCATCACCATCCGGGCTACCCAGAAGAAGAGAAGGTCACTTCCTGTCTCCAGGAGGCTGTTGGGATAGAACTGCTTGAGGTCTCCTGTCTGCAGGGAAGACAAACGTGCACCTGATATTACCGCAGGAACAGCATCACATAACTAATAGTACCTCCTTCCCACCTCTTCTGCTTGCATATCAACCACATAATCACTGAATGCTTAAAATAAAATAGCCGTAGGACAGCAACCGTAGGACAGCAACCTGTGGTAGACGGATGCACATGTTAAGTTACAGTACCAACGCTCAGCCTGGAAGCATTCCCAGTATTGCCCAGGGAGCAAACAAGTTTTGCAAACACTGTGCCGACGTTCCTTGGATTGTACCTCCACTTCCAAATCCGCTTGGTCTGAGGAAGTGAACTTGATCCACAAAAACTCACCTTAAAACAGAGCAGTTAGTCTTTAAGGCGCCAGACCATTTTGGTCTTCTTTATTTTTATTTTGCTTTGGCTTGATATGCTAGCACAGATTAACACAGCTACCTCTTCTAAAAACGGCATCCTGCCTTTGCCACTGTGTATGGACGCATGCGCGCTAAAAATGTCCGCATGCGCGGCAAGTGCAGGGTGCAGTGCTGGCTCCAGGTTTGGTGGATTGTAGAGAGCAGTCTGGAAACACCATGTTTTGGATCAAAGCTCCCAGGATCTCCTAGCTCACATGGCCTGGGGATTCCAGGAGCCGTAGTCTAAGCCCTGGCCTCCAGGCTTCTTTAATGGTTCCTTTTGCTCAAGGCGGGTGCCACTGATCATGTGCTTGTCCCTTTTTGCTTCGCCCACAGAGAGGAGAGCAGCCATGTGAGCAGGAGCTACTGCTCCTTCTCCGGATTCCCATGGTTCCTGGCTCACTCAGCCGCCCAGAGTGGTACAATATACCAGATGGGCGGGGTATAAATCAAATAAATAAAAGCCCTGGCCTCCAGGCTTCTTTAATGGTCCCTTTTGCTCAAGGCGGCTGGCACTGACCATATGCTTGTCCCTTTTTGCTTAGCCCACAGAGAGGAGAGCAGCCACATGAGTAGAAGCTAGTGCTCCTTCTCTGGATTCCTACAGTTCCTGGCTCACTCAGAGGCGCCAGTGCCAGCAAAGAGGAACAGCAAGAGGATGGGGAGAAGGAGGAAGTGGAGGAACAGTGTGGATGGAGAGTTGCTGGGACATGGGCTTCATAGGCCAATGCCAACGGGGCCAAACCATGGCAAGGGATGACGTCGGTTCCCTCTAGGAATACCCACCACAACCTAGTCAACCACCATGGGAAGCTGCTCCATCCTTTGTGAGACTCACTCACCTCCCGAAGTGGAGGAACAGTGTGGATGGAGAGTTGCTGGGACATAGGCTTCATGGGCCAATGCCAACGAGGCCAAACCATGGCAAGGGATGACGTTGGTTCACTCTAGGAAAACCCACCACAACCTACGGCAAGCTGCTCCATCCTTTATGAGACTCACTCACCTCCCAGGGCCAGCCCAAGGCAGCAAAAGGAAAGATGCCAGAGGAGAACCAAACAGTGTGGATGGAGAGTTGCTGGGACATAGGCTTCATGGGCCAATGCCAACGAGGCCAAACCATGGCAAGGGATGACGTTGGTTCACTCTAGGAAAACCCACCACAACCTACGGCAAGCTGCTCCATCCTTTATGAGACTCACTCACCTCCCAGGGCCAGCCCAAGGCAGCAAAAGGAAAGATGCCAGAGGAGAACCAAGTGTCTAAGACGTCAACATCTAAGGGAAAGACATGCAAATGAACATTCGATTATGCTCAAGACTGGTAACAACACTGGGAAGAAGTAGAGCATGGAAATGTTGCTTTTATGGTCTATTGTTCCCAGACTCCCCTGGTCAGCATGCACGTATCACAGAGGGAGAAGTGGGGGGAAGAAAGGCTCCAAGAGCAGAGGGAGAAGTGGGGGGAAGAAAGGCTCTGGAGAAACAGCCGGGGACAGCCACTGCTGCCCCTCCAAGTATGTGCCACCAAAGGAAGAAAGCAGAGATTGGGTAACAATTTGCTTTTTTCAAAACACTAGACTCCAGGGTGAGGCACCTCTAAGACAAATGCAGAAAAGTTCACTTTTTTGGGGAGAACAACAGCAGAGAATGCCTCTGCCACCATGGCCGGTGGGAGCTGCCATCCTAAAAAAAAGAGAGAAGGACATTTCCCAGCTCTGCTTTCTTGCACTAACTAAACCAACCTTCTCTCCCAACTCCTAGAAATCAGAGTGCTGGGATTGCTGTGTTACCTCTCACTAGCTCCAGGGACTCTTCCGATTTCCCCAGCATTCCTGCTGCTTTCCTTAGAGCTTCAGTTTCTGTTCTACCCACGACCCAGAATCCATCGCTCTCCTCCAGCTGCAATGTGTGAAAAAGACAAATTAAGGTCATGTGACATTATGGTCGGGACTGGAAAGGATAAGTATTCCTTCTGTACAAAATTAACCCTGTGATGGATGGATGGATGGACGGACGTACGGACGTACGGCTTAGACTCTGATAGGCTAACTCACCTTCCCTACGACAGGTGACCCAGATATCGTGACTCGATAGGCTGGAATTTGATGGCCCCACCACAGCTGACGAGAAATGCACCAGTCACTAGGAAACCAATGATTAAAAAGGACAACCATTAGGATTTCAAAGATTTATTTACAGGATTTTTTAGCCACGTCATTACCAGTGGTCTCTGATGCAACCACCGTTCTGCTGGATCAGATTGGTCCAAAAAGCCATTGTCCTGGAATGATTGGATGGAGACTTAAGAGATCAAAGGAGAATTTAGATACTGCCTTGTAACAAAAATAAAATCCAGCTGAGAATCTTGATTTGTCTCTGCCTTGTTTGAAGCTCCTGGTTCTTCCTTATTGAAGTAAATGGATGAGGAGTCCAACAGAATAAAAGAGTTCCTCACATTATTGCCACACTGATTTTTCAAACAAGTTAATCATGATCAATATCCTCACGGGTCAATCACAGGACATGCGGTCAAATAAAAAAAGGGATAAAAACATGGATTGGCCTCCTCCTTACCTCGTATTCAACAGCCAAGTCCTCCAAGTTTTCTCATGAAATTTCGGAGTGAATTTCAAGTGTCCGGATTCCATGGCCTTAAGAGAAAAATGAACAAACCAGATTAATTCAACGTGAGCAAGTCAAACTCTTGGACAGAGTGGTGAATCTTTGTATCTTATTTGAAGCCAATCATTTAGCGACCCTATTAAGGGTGCTTGTGCTCGGTGACCAAGGTTCTGTGCAAATGGATGCAGTTTATTTGTTGACAAGATGCCTAAACTGCTCTGTATGAGGCAATTGGGAGCCATGCCAAAAACAAATAAACCCCACATATTAAATAGTTACAATAAAAACCAATCTATGAAAATTTTGTGAGGGAAAGAAGGGTTCTCAGCAAAGATTGGAAATGAGAGAAATGTTATGCTATGATATAATAAAGGCATCTACATTTCCCACGCCCCTCCCCTCAACAATAATTAATTTTAGTGCTATCTTTACAAGCACAGCTTTGGAGTTCGGTCAGAATGTACTAGAAAAGACAAGGCTACCTCCAAGGCTGCACGACCCATCGCTTCACATCGGACAAACCACTGGTGCTTCAAGAGGGTTTCAACCACATCCCCAGAGCGGCTGTGAGTAAGAGAAAAAACAAGGGCACAGCGTCACTGCAGGTTGCGTGTCTCCTTACGGAACAATCTAAACCTGTCAGGCTACAGAGAGGGGTGTGTGTGTGTGTGTGTGTGTGTGTGCACCGTTTAATGACGAATCCACATAGCACCTCGTTTTTTGGGGTCGCTAATGCGATCGCATTGCGATGTTTAGATAGGCTAAACATCGCATTGCGAAGATTTCTGCACCCGGCGGCCATTTTGGGAACAGCTGATTGGCGGTTCCAAAATGGCCGCCGGGTGCACAAAATGGCCGCCCGCACCATTTTCGCGCCCTGCCCTCGCTTACCGAGGGCGCAAAAATGGCGGCACTATGGAGAAACTTCGCAGAACTGTGAGTTTAAGAGCCATAGGAGCCATATGGCATTTTCCATTCTGTATAGCGATGTTTCCCCATAGCGACGGTTAATCCGGAACGGATTAACCTCGCTATGCGGGGCACCACTGTATATTGTAATTGCCACCCACATAGTTGTCTCTGCTCCAAGAAGCATGCCAACTGCCTACAAGTGAACCTGTCCCAGGGTTTCTTTATTCAGCAGAACAAGTACCCCCCCAACCCTTTAATAAAGGTAACGTTTACACGCATTCCGGCCTTCCATGCACTCTCACACCAGTAAAAATGTCAAATGGGCTCAGAACAAAAATGTGGCATATCAGAGAATTATTAAAGAGGCCCTGACCTGTTTTGCTAACTGGGTACAATCAGGCGGACTTAGAATTCACTGCCACATGAAATAACCTGAGCCAGTGAAATACGGACCACCTTTAACAAAAACAGGAAACAACCCCCCCCCAAAAAAAAGGTACATCCAGGATAACATTCCCAGAGCAACGGCATCTTCAGATCTTTAGATGGTAGACATACAGGCAAGATTTTCGTGATTGTCTTTTTACGCATTTTCATTTTTATTCTGCACCTTTTCTCAAACTGAGTTCCCGTCCATATCTAATGAAATCAATAATTTAAGAGCTGAAAGTTCCAATTTACATTGTAAGAAAAAGCTGTCAGAAAACAGAAACAGAAAACCAGACCGGAAAATAAACTATAATTAAAAATAATAAAGTTTGATTAAAAGAGACTAAGAAAGCTCATGAGGACAATCTCAACTGGTGGGCAGGCTCGTACAGAAGAGGGTGAACCTTTATAATAACTGGTCAGGTAGCCATGTCATCACGAGTCCTAGGAATTGTACTTGTAAACAAGTTGGAAGCCAGTGCAGCTTTTCCCACAAATGAGGCAAACACTCCTTATATGTGGCACATAAGCAATCCTGTTGCTTGGTTACACCAGCAGAAGTTTACAAGGTGTGTAACTTGTAGCAACTCCTTGCTGGCAGTTAACAAGTCCCCACTTGGAATTTTGGGCACACACAGAACCAGCAGTCAAGTGGGCATCTGAAAATCCAAACAGAGATTTGCTAATTGCCAGTAAGGTACATTACCTTCTGCAGGCGTACATAAGCAATAGGATTTACGCTATTTTGCTGCTGCTTTCTAGACCAAAATCCTATTGCTTTACCTTACAAATGGTACAGTGCTGACTGTATCTTGATTTTTTTAAAAGCATTTTCTTTATATTGTGCGTAGCCCTAAGATGAAACTTGGAGGATGGTTGGGGAGAAGAAACAGTGGTACGCAATTGTTGAGGTAAGTCCTTGGCTATTACCTGCAAAGAGGGAGAACCATGGGATGTTCCTTTGAACCCTGATGGAGACCTCTCTCCTTCAAGGCAGCCAGCACCTTCTCTCGAGCCACAAACCTATTCAGCCCCTGAAAGAGGAATATCCATATGATTACACAAAGTCTTGGAGGCACCTCAAAAAAGCTAACATTTTTACTATGACATGTGGGTTCCCAGACCTGAATTCACTTTTATTAGGTACATCTATCAAGCACAAAGGTGAGCCAAGCACATCCCTCCAGATGTTGTTCGACTAATGCTCCCATCATCTCTCACCACTGGCTATGCCATCCTGGGTTAATGGGAAGTACAGTTCAACAGCGTCAGGAGATTCACCCGTTCATCAACCCTGATCTAACAGAATCAGCTGAGCCTGCAGAAGACACTCCAGTATCAGACAGGCTGGAAGATCGTCATGATAAATTATACACCCATTCATTTCATTAATAATGTTGTCAAATAATGCTGCATCCCTTAGCCTGGCCCTGATACGAGACATGTTTGGGACCTCGTCACTTGGCAGAGTGCCTCTCCCTTCAATCATCCACCCGCCCCACCTGCACCACTGAAGTGATCCTCGTCACTTGGCAGAGTGCCTCTCCCTTAAATCATCCACCTGCACCACTGAAGTGACGATGCTGCCGGTTGCCATCCTGAGGCAGGCCTGGAAACCTATGACCAGGAATCTCAATGGTGGCCACCACATTATGGAATGCTTTGCCAGCGGAGGTGTGCCAGGCCCTTTCCTTCCTAGCATTCAGGAAGTCAGTCAAACCAGATTTTTTTCAGATAAGCTTTTCTAAATACTTTTCCTGCATAAATTGCCTATGTTGTTGTTGTTTTTTAATTGCTGCCACAGCTGCCCCCCCGCCAACAATTATTTCCTTTCAATAATATCTGTCAGGTTGGGGATTGGGTGTGTTTATGTTTTTATCTGTGTAAGCTGCTCAGAATAAGGCATACCACTAGATGGATGGGGTAGAAAAATATATAAACCAATCAATCAATAAGTCCCAGGCAGGTTTTAATTCATGCTACTGGCTGCAATAAATATTGCATCGATATACATTCAAACAAGGTGAATAAAAATCAATTTAAAGTGCACTTAAATCACAATTTATATACAGTGGTGCCTCGCTTGACGAGGATAATCTGTTCCAGCGAAATCGCTGTAGAGCGAAATCCTTGTCAAGCAAAATAAAAAAAGCCCATTGAAACTCATTGAAAACCACTCAATGCGTTCCAATGGGCTAAATACCTCAGCGTCCAGCAAAGATCCCCCATGGGGCGGCCATTTTCCGATGCCTGTGCAGCGAAAAATCTGTCCTAAAGCACAACGGGGAGCCATTTTACACAGCGGGCGGCCATTTTGAAACCTGACAAGCTGCTGTTTTGATCGTCGTAATGCGAAGAATCGGTTCCCGAAGCAGGGAACCGATCGTCGGGAAGCGAATTTTGCCCTTTAAAACATTGTTTTGCGATCGCAAAAACCTCATAGTCAAGCAGTTTCATCGTTTAACGAGGTAACAGTTAAGCGAGCCACCACTGTATGTATAAAAATCTAGTTTTTAACTTAAATGGCCAAAAAAATTCCAACATTTAAAAATTGTGATTTAAATCAAATCCACCCTGCATTCAAAGGAACAATACTAATACAAATAGACGTCTTAGGCACCAGAAGCGTAAGTGCTGAAATTCAACAAAGCCGTTGTGACTGCAGCAACTCCTTTCAGAATATCTTGGGCAAGCAGAAAGACAAAGCCACCGACCAGACAAGATGCTCTTCCAAAGGAAGATCCTACCTGGAGCCACTCCCCACACTCGGATGCCATTGTTCCATCTTCTTCAATCACTGAAATGCACGGCAGGCCATGCCCGCGAGCCATTTCATAGTCCACATGGCTGTGCCCTGGGGTCACCTTCACAGCTCCTGGAAGAGGGCGTGGAATCATAAGGGAAAGGCAACTCTGAGACCAGGGACACCGCGGCATCTCTGGCTCCTGAGAGGCAGGAAGGGGCCATTCTCTCACCTGTGCCCATCCCCCGTTCTACCAAAGGATCAGTGATGACAGGAAGGAGGCGTCCAGTGAAAGGGTGGCGGAGTCTCTTTCCATGGAGGTGCTGAGAAAGAGAGAAAAAATCCAGAAAGAGAACAATGATCAGTCAGGCTAGGCTGCAGTCAGCACGTCATCCATTAAAAAGGCGAATACTCTTTTTTCTTATTAGTAACATTCTACTACCTAGCCAACTGACATAGAAATCTGCCTAATTTCAAAGGTGAATACAGTGGTGCCCTGCATAGCAACGTTAATCCGTTCCGGATTAATCGTCACTATGCAGAAACATCGCTAAACGGATCAAAAAAAAAACCCATAGGAACACATTAAACTTGGTTTAATTCATTCCTATGGGGCCCAAACTCACCGTTCAGCGAAGTTCCTCCATAGCGCTGCCATTTTCGCTCCCTCAGTAAGCGAGGGCAGGGCGCGAAAACACTTGCAGCGGCCATTTTGGGCACCCGGTGGCCATTTTGGAACCGCCGATCAGCTGTTTAAGAAAACATCGCAATGCGAAGATTGATAAGCAAAACGCTTACCGATCATCGCAATGCGAGTTTTTGCCTATGTAAACATCACAATGTAATCGCTTTTGCGATCACAAAAGCGACATTGCTATGCGGATTCATTGTTAAACAGTGCGCACGTTAAGTGAGGCACAACTGTACTTCATTTAGCCCAGAATTCTTGAACTGCCATCTCAGACTGAGAGAATTTCTGAGGCTGGAAAGCTGAGGTAGGCACACTCTAGATTTTTATGGTATAGCAGTGTATCTGAGTTATTTTTGTCTGAATATTATACTGCTTTTCCAAAAATGAAATAGCAAGTCAGGTCTCCTCAGGAGAGAACGTGAGGCCCTACATGTGACAGGAAGCTAGGAAAGTTACTTTTTGGAATGCACTGTAGCTCCCATAATGTCTGAGCCAACAAGGCACCTGCAGCTGGTGTTGCCTCTCATGGATTTATGGTTGCAGTCAGAACTTTGTGTGTGTGGGGCTGAGTTTACGCTCAGTGCTGGTGGAAAATTAAAGGGAATATTGCCTAGCACTAATAAAACAGCAAATCCACAGCATAAGCATGTTAAGCATCACATCATAACACAAGCAAAGCTACTTCCCCTTCTAATGAGGATTTGGCATCATGCACATTCTGTGTCTCGTGTTCCTTCCTCCTAATTTCATTTTATTTCTGACTGATATTTACATTCCTGTGTGTACTTTATTTTTCCCCAAACATTCATTCATTCCCTGACTTTCTCCTTAAAAAAAGGACTCAAGTCAGCTTACATCATTAAAAAGCAGCATTTAAAACAAACAGTAAAGAGGGTACAATTACTCAAATGGATCAAACACAAATACCATACTTTTAAAAAATAAGGATTACTCATTTTATCTTAATCTTCTGCAGGGGTTGTTAATGGCTTGGGTTGCCCGAGAGAGAGAGAGACAGAAAGAGAGAGAGATCCCGCCCTTTGCCAATGAAGATTTGTATAGAAGATTTAGCAAGATTTAGCTAATGGAAATCCCTGAGAATGGGAGGTTCTGAGCTTTTGCTGCAATTCATACTGCAATAGCACTAGAAGGTACTGTATAAATATAAACCTGCTCTATCCCTAAAGTACAAATTAATCTGAACTTCCATTTGTTTATTTTCCCTTTTTAAATCCCTTTTCACCTACCATCACACAAGCAACTTAGAACATTTTTTACTCATTGACACCTTCACTACTCATCATCTAAACCAGTGGTTCTCAAACTTGGTTAAACCAGGTGTTCTTGGGCTGCAACTCCCAGAAACCCTGGCCATTACAGCCAATGGTGCAGGCTTCTCAGAGTTTCAGCCCAAGAATATCTGGGGACCCAAGGGTGGGGATTAGTGTTGTAGACCCTTCTGAATGATGCCCAATAAGCTTAGGTCCAAACTTCCTAGCAGGGCTTGAAAAAGTTGCTTTTGAAACTACAATTTCCTCCATCAGAATAGCCAGTTGAGGGTAATCTGAGAGTGGTCATCCATAAAAGTAACTATCAAAGGTATGCTTCCGTGCCAGAGGAACCTACCCCAAGGCAGGTCTCTGCTAGCACCCAGGGCTTCTGCAAGCCAAGGCCCTTTTATGCTCTGAGCCCAGACCTTCTGCAAACACCAAGCAGGAGCTCTACCGTGGCTCCATAGCAGCTTTCCCACAGGAAGGGAGAACCGGGCAGAGCAGCCTTACTGTGTAACGTGGGTCCTCTGGATGAACAGCGACAGCCACATCTCCCAACATGGTCTCTGGGCGGGTTGTGGCGACAGGAAGCTCCTCGCCTGCCCTCAGTCAAGAGATGATATTAAAAAGGTTGCTTCAGTTAGAAAAACAGCTTTCCCTTGGCACCGTGGAACACTTAAAATCAGTTTAAACAGGGATACAAGCGTGTGAGAAGCGGAGAAACAACTGTTGACAATAAAGATGATATAAATCGTAGATAACCTCTTTCTCTTTACTGTGCTATTTTTCTGGCATTGATTGAGGATATCCTTTTGGTGTTTATTATTTATTATTTTTATTTATTTAATTTATATGCCGCCCACACTACCCAAAGGTCTCTGGGCGGCTTACAACATTTAAAATACAATAAAAATTCAGAATAATTAAAATGCAATTAAAATATATATAAAAATTGCCATCGGACCCACAGCTAATATTATTTCAATTAAAAGCCTTCTGGAACAGGAAGGTTTTGACCTGGCGCCGAAATGTCATCAGCTGTGTTGATTGGCTAGCCACTGCAAAGGATTCTGGGAGGTATCCCAGGGTGCACTCCTAAGGTACACAGGTAGGGTTCCCTAATTCCAGCCATCGGCCAAAAGAGAGCATGTCTCAAACTGGACCCCAGCTAGCCTGTGAGGTAACAGGTACCCTGTGATAAGGCTGTGAACCAGGGAAATTAGGATTTGTATCGGCTCTCATCTGCAAATTTTGAACCATATTCTTTCAGCCCAATCTATCTTAGGAAGCCGCTTCAAGCACAGAATGGGAAGTCTTGCCGTTCCTGCATTTCTTGCATTTGCTTATATCTGACACGATGTCAGGAAATGAAAATGGATGAAATTCAAAATCACAGTGACAAATACCGAATAAAAACTGTGAACAAACAAAAGCAGAGTTTCTTGGGAAAATGCAACGCAACCATCCTGTTTAAGGTTAGGTTGCCGCCCGCTATCGTTTGTTCCTGCACAAGCTTGCTTAACATGGTAAACTCACCTTCCTCTCCATCCACCTTGTAGGCAAAGGTCTCCAAAACCCCAAAGGGTACTTTGCCCGGGACTCCAGGCACCAAGAGCTCCGTCCGTCCCCCGAGCTGCCTGTTCTCCACCTGCCAGAGACCTGCAGTGAAACATCTCTGCCGAGACAGCACCAAAACTCTTCCATACCCCCCACCTGATCCCTTGGATGCCCCGTTCACCTCAATGTCAGAAATGGCCGACCGCAAGGCACACGACCAGTTTACTAAACGCTTGTCCCGATACACCAGGCCTTGCTCGTGCAATCGCACAAACGCCTCGGTCACCGCCTGGGAAAAGCCCTGTGGAAAAAAATGAAAGACACATGGAAGCAAGGATACAACATTTCAGGAAGCACTGGAACCACGGGGAAAAGTTCTTCAGAAAAAAACTTAAAATGTGTCACATGTGATGGTGAGTGTTTATAAAAATATCATGCTTGGAGGTATTACAAGTGCATTTATACTCACTGAATTTACACGGCTTGGAGGTACAAGCTGCTGGCCTCTACCTCTCCCGCCCTAGTCATCACGTTTCAAGGCACTGACATCATGAATTTATTATAGATATACTCCACTTGTGGCATAAACAAGAACTAACCCTACATCTCACCTGCTTCCAGGCAACTGTGTCCAGTTTAAAAAAGATGCCAACAAACTGGAGGGCAACAAGCATGATCAGGGACTGAAAACTCCTCCACGAGTTCCATTGATTCAAATAGGCCAACTCTAACTGCAACTTACTTTAGCATAGTAAAGGGCTATTGAAGGACACCCATATAAATCAATGGACTTTACTAAGAAGTTGGCTGAACCAAACCCCATTGATTCCATGGACCTACAATAGTGCAATTTACTATTCTAAGCAACTGGATCTTGGCCAATATTTATGAGGATTTCTTAACTTAAGAACTTCACCTCCAAGAATTATGCCATTCATATTATTCCATCGTAACTAGGCAAAAAGGATTGGCCACTGGAACTTCGGCGTGTTTGTCTTACTCACATGGTCCATGGTGAAACAGACACGGTCCCAGTCTAAGGAGGCACCCATCACCTTCAATTGTTGGAATATTTCATTTCCCTTTCTGATCTCGGGGGGGGGGGGAAACAAAACATCAGAAACCTCTGTTACACGCAGACATGCAAATGAAAAGCCCGTATGTAAGTAACTTGGTCAGGTAGAAGAGAACTGACTAAAGCCTTTACCAAAACAAGTTGTAGGCTATTTTATTAAGGTTAACGTTGACCTAAGGTTGCCCTTGACATTTAGTCCAGTCATGTCTGACTCTAGACAGACATGTGCTCATCCCCATTTCCAAGCCGTAGAGCCAGCGTTTGTCCATAGACAGTTTCCGTGGTCACGTGGCCAACACGACTAGACACGGAACACCATTACCTTCCCACCGTGCTGGTACCAATTTATCTACTTGTATTTTTGCATGCTTTCGAACTGCTAGGTTGGCAGGTTGGCAGGAGCTGGGATGAGTGACGGGAGCTCACTCCGTCCCGTGGATTCGATCTTACGACTGCTGGTCTTCTGACCCTGCAGCACACAAAGGCTTCTGCGGTTTAACCCGCAGTGCCACCACCTTGACATACCTTCCCCTCCAAATCTATAATCTGTCCACTCAGAGGGCAGATTTTGGCTACACTTCTAGCTCCCGACATACTCACTCCTCTTTCCATTTCCAGACTTCTTGGAAGAATTCCTCTCGTGTGAGGTCCTGTCGCAGGGCATGCCGTTCCTTCCAGATCTTTTTTTCCACCACGGCCTGAGCAAGCGCAAGAAAAGCATAAGAAGGCATCAAAACCAAGAGAAGTGGAAAACTTGATTTAAAAAAAAAAACCAGCATCCCATATTATCATATTCTAAGGTTCCAATCCTAAGCATATGTACTAAGGAGTTAAGAGGCACAGTTTACTTCTGAGTAAACAGACATAAGATTGTACTTTTTGTTTTAGAACTTATAGCAACAGGAAAGGAGGGGAACTGCCCCTCAGAAAGGCTTTGTGCCTTTTGTTTGCATGTCAAGTAAAGACGACACTGTTTTGTTCTTGGTCTGATTACTATTCAAAACATTCTCTTCTGCTGCCCCTGTGTTATACACTCTTATGGCTAACATTTTATTTTGTTTTTAATATTTTAAACTTAGTTTCCTAAGGTTTTCTGATTGTGGGGTGCCTTGATGTTGTCGCCTAACAACAGAAAGACAAAATAAAGTGTCTCTCATTAACTCATTCATATCAGGAGCATTATTTACACACACAGAGGTAGAAAATACAGAGATATTCTACAGAGGGAGAAAACAGCAGCAGAACTACTCAAGTTTACATTTTGGGAGTACAGCAAGAGGCAGAAGATAGAAAATAACTTTGGTCCATAGCACTGGTTCTTAACCTTTGTTACTCAGATGTTTTTGGACTGCAACTCCCAGAAGCCTTCACCATCAGCTCTGCTAGCTGAGGTTTCTGGGAGTTGCAGTTCAAAAACACCTGAGTAACAAAGGTTAAGAACCACTGGTCCATAGCATGGGCTTCCCTTCTGAATTGGATGAAACCAAAGTAACAAGTGGCAAATTACTAAAGTGAGGTGGAGCTGCTGTTCCAGGATTTCTAACCACTCCCTTCTGTATCCCAGCCCACTTCCATTGGTCTGCATTCTGTGATGACACAGCAGGCTCAGTCCTTATTGGGCGACCTTTGACACTCCCCAACCCTTCCTCTAGCAACTTGCGGTGTAGAATGTTGAGTATTCCAACCTTTCCACAACATTCTGTTCTCCTTTCATACCATGATTCCTTCTGCCAATCAACCTTGGAATGGAATGTCTGTTCTCGCTGGGCTATTCACAAGAAAGGCATTTTCACCTAAAGATATTTTGTATGGTTGAAAACCCACAGTTTCTCCAGCCATGCTGGTATCTCCCTCTTGTGCTTGGGGTCACAAATGGAACGCCGGAAATAGTGGGAGCAATTGTTGGTCCTCACCTGCGTGGCAATTCCAGCATGATCTGAACCCGGGACCCACAGAACCTTATAGCCTTGCATCCTCTTCCTGTAAAATCAAGAATGAAAAACAAACAAACAAAACCCTACCAAAATTCACATAAATCTTAGCAGGTGGAAGAGGTACAGATATGGTGACACAGAAAGGAAAAAAAATAGTCCAGTGAACTAGGAATTTTCCATTTTGCCATTTAATATTTGAGTCCCTTTTTGTCCCCACTGTGAACTGCATTTTGAGAGCTTCGGCATCAACACTCTAATTCTCTTTCTAACAAGGGTGGAGAATAAAATAAAAATAAATAAAATAAACTCTCTGGCTCGGCAGATGGTTTTGGGCTTTAGTTTCCCTTGGCACTAGCCAAAATTGCCAACAATGCCAGTCATGGGAGTTGCAGTGCCATATTAAGTGGACGACTACACTTCCTGTTTCTCCTGCATACGGTCCAGATTTCTTTGCTATAAAACACTGATCATGACTGAATCTATAGCTAAGTGGATCAATAACTCCTCAAAGAAAAAAAAACACCTTTTTTTAAAGCAGAAGGTTACAGTTGAAGTGATGCTCCAAACAAACAAACAAACAAAAAAAAAAATCTGAGACCACAGATGTTTCCCTCAAAATAAAGTAACGGGAGGGGGGGGAGATTGTCCATAAGATACCATAAAAACCCGCCATCAACCATAAAAATGCAATGGTTAGAGTCACTGTATAAATAAACATGGAAGCGTGCGGTGATACCTCACCCCTGGAAGCTAAGGGCTCAAATAACCATTTCCTAAACCCTCTAAAACTTCACTTACCACCGTACCAAAGCATCTTCAATGGCAACCGTCAAGGCATGGCCCAGGTGCAAGGACCCGGTGACATTAGGTGGAGGAATAGAGAGAGAAAAGATTTCTTGCTTCCGATGCGGTAAATGTTGCTGCAGGAAGAAGAGGCAAGAGATAAGCGCTGTTGGAGGTCAAGAAACCCCAACAGCGGGTGGCTTCTTTGCTTACTCTAAGGTTCATAAAACTAGGGCAGTGGTTCTTAACCTTGGGTTATTCAGGTGTTTTTGGACTACATCTCCCAGAAGCCTTCACCACCAGCTGT